GGAAATTTCTTCGGGAATATGGAGTGCCCTAATTTCCAAAATTTTGGTATGAAGAACCAGATGAAGCAACTCGCTGACATCCACAAGAAAATCCCCAATCGCTCCTGGAATATTCATTCCAGAATCCTAATTCTTGAAGTACAAACAAACTTGCATTCGCGTAAGGCGATTAACTCGGTGTTCACATTAATTCCTGACGCATGCGAGTAGAAAGAGGTTACGAACCACCAAAATGCCATGGCAATTTCAATTTCCCTGGGTGGGTGTTTTGAGTTCTTGATAATGCACGCACTTGGTTGGTTCACACAGTCGGGGACTTTGAATTCGCGTAAAAGGTAGAGTTTAAAATAGCTGGTTTACAAGTCCCTTCTGCTGTGGAGTAGACTGGCAAAGCCGGGTTTGGATCCTTTAATCTCACGAATCTTGCCTTGACACACGTTTTCGTACTCATCCCCGTGTTGCATTAAAAATCGGTTGACTGTAGTGTACACATTTGTTTATTTGCTAATCTGAAAGAAATATTCTCGATGCACTGGTAAATTGACGTGAAATCAAAACCAATCGTTCAAAAATCCCCAAAGAAAAATATAGCCCAACGTAAAAACCAACTCCCTTCGGTATTGTTCTTATAATTAGTTTTATGGAAGTAAAAAAATACAAGGCCGTAGTCACTGTATCCAGCTCATAAACTCTGCTCACTGGTTCGCGCTGACACAGTTTCCCGAAGACTTTTAATATTCGCTAGTGCTTTTACAGGAAAAAAACCAAGTCACTACGACGCCTATCCCCTATGGTAATGCAACTAAATATTGAAAATTTCCAGGCTTGTTACCCACCAGAGCCTTTCACCCCTGGTACCCAAGGATAATAAGGTTGTGGCCTTTGGCGAAAGCATGTACCAAACTCTATCCTAGAGTTCCGAGACGTGGGTATTGTAAACATCAGCGTAACCTGATCTCAAGAATTTTTCATAATTATTTTGTCCTGGCGACGTGAACCTGATACAACGGGGAGAGGTCCATTCTCCGATGGAAGGAAATGGGTCAAAGGACAATGTTCACATGGTGAATGCACTGTTTACTCTCGGTGCTCCACTTCACTCGATGCCATTCGTCCAAGAGACTCGGTAACTTGGTAAAAGGAAAATCCAAAGATGAATAAAAGAACTTGCAAATTTTGAAGTTCATGCCGATTTTTTTTAAACATCTGGAAAATTTGGGATTAAATTCCCCAGCGAAAAGGCCGAAGGGAGCAACTTCTACTATAAGTCTTCCATTAATTTGTTCTCTGATTTTATAATCTATTTGTAAAAAATCGCTTTGAGAAATAAAATGACAGTTTTTAAAATAAATAATCGGTGGTATTTATCTCAAACCTCAAATTCATTACCGGCAAAATATTGTTCCATGCTGAAGTTCCGTCGTGAGGATAACTCGAGTGGAAAATTAAAAGGAGAAATAAAAAATAAAAAATGAGGTGTAAATGATATCAGTTAGAGCTTGGTCGTGTTTCTTGTTTATCGTGCAAAGAACCCAAAGTAATGGGATGATTTTTCAACCCAATGGATATTTCGAGGGGAATTGTGGGGCGCGGTATAAAAGAGCGCAAGAAAGAGTGAGAAAAATACTCAAGACAGACGATGAAGGGAAGACTGGGCATTAACTAGAGATTTTTACGTTGAACAAAGACGCCAACGGGAGAACCATAAGTTTTCCCGCTTTATGTGTCCACACTATTTTCCTGTGGGTTCATAATAAATGAAGGGATAATGGCGGAGTTATTGAGTTTTTCATTCAAAATAACACATTATTTTTTCATTTACTTACAATGATCTTTATTGCTTACTCCTAATATCGATATAAATTAATTATTTAAAGTAATAGTCACATCAGATATTCATTACCACTGATTCATCGCAATCAATTGTGATATTTATGATACATTTTCAATTGGTTGAATCGGAATATACGATCAAGGCGACAGTATAAATTTTTGAATTATCCAACAAAAAATTTACGTTCAGGGAATTTTTTTATTTTCTCTCTCGAAAAAAGTTGTGTTTTTTATCATTTGAAGGACAAGTGATGGAATATTTTTTTGAGTTTATATTCTCCTGAGTAATGGAAATTTTTATTGCAAATTTCACTGTCACCTCGATCTATCAATCTCACCTGTTAATATTCGACAGTTAAAATATATAGATTTAAAGCTATTTTACATCTCAATACACATATCATCCGCCTCGATATTCTCCAAAGTTACCCAAATTATCACCTCAATTTTTCCTTCATCACATCGATAAATCCAACAGTATAATCTTTTGATTGTATTTTGAAAATATATCAACTACGTTATACTCTATATATTAATAAATTTCCAACACGAATTTAATTAACTCTATCAATCGAAATATTCCAGAACGTCTCGGCACAATCAACAATTTCCATGATCACTTTATTTTTTAATTAGCGAAAGACCGGGGCGAAATGATTAATTATTCTGCATATCTCCGGGCTGTGCTCCAGTTGTGATTGTAGATTAAAAAATAATTTTCTTTCGTGTGTAATCTGGTAGACGAGATCGGGGGAAAAAAATTGTAATCGAAATATTTTTTATAGATTTTCAAAAAATTTCGGGAAAGCTTTTCCGATTTTTTTTTTTATGAAACAAAAAAAAATCGAAGACAAAATAATTTTATTTTTGTGAAAGGTTTTGAAAAATTGGGAAAAAATATTCCGATTACAATTTTTTTTACCCTGGGAGGTACATTAAAAAAAAAACACTTATTGAAAAAAAAGCAGAAGTGTCATTTTACTCCGGTGTGATTTCCAAAAGAAAGAGAATTTTTGTTTCTCCATTGAATGATTCCTCTTTAGTTGTACAACTACTTTATATACAAGAGCATGCATAAAATACGGACAGCTTATCGTTTACAGATATCAAAAGACCACGCCTGAAAATATGTATACTCGCCCCGAGTGCCACTCACGCTCACCCATTTGCCCCATTCCACTCGGAATAATCTGGCATTTTTTCTCATCCTCTTCACGCCATCCCTATCACGAAAGATAAAAAACAATGAACATAGAATTAAAAACGTACACGTGAGTGACTATAACAATTTGGAAAAACAAAAATTCATTTTGGCAGCGAAATTTTTTCTGACTGACATACGAGACTATTCACAATCACTTCTACATACCATACGTCCCCTAAAATAGCTGTACAAATTACGAACAATTACGAACAATTGTCTGAATAATAAATTCTGATACAACAAAAGAGAATAGGAGGGAAAAAAAGTCCCAAAAAAATACACACACAACAGAAACAACAAAATTATTCGACTCCATGTGAAAATTTGAATTTTTCATTAATGGATGTGCACTCACCCACCCCAATTAATCATTCCAACGCACAATTTAAATTAGATAGTCCGTAAGATATTCAATTGCTATAGATTAAACAGTTTTATCTCTCGGTATCAGAGGTGTTTAACACAAATGAATTTACACTATTTTGTCACGGCACCTGCATGTAGCCCGACAGAATTGAAGTCTCTCGATGCCCTGATCTGTGTCGGTCTGGCACAACCATCCGGGCCACGTTTCGTAAAGCTGGCGACAGTTGGCCCACAAATCAGCCCATGGGCAGGCATTCTTACAGAGTTTACCGACTCTACAGTGATCCTTGCAGCTGCTGCATGAAGGCCCGGCTGTGTAAGGTGTGCTCAGACGATCCGGATGATTGCCCCTGTCGATCATAACACCTGTTATTTTTCCCCACACTTAAAAATATATCTGAGTTCTTCCCTATTTTTTCGTACCAATCTCTCTCATCCTATTTTATTTAAATGTGGATGAGATCTATCGTGTAATTTCTGCGGGAGCACTCGTTAAATCTTTTCCATCGTCAAGTATTTCTCAAAGGACTTTATCAATACAGAATCAATACCGTAATTTACTGTTTCCATTCGTATCTCATTTGATCTCGCTAAATGGTCATTCAACCGAATATCCCCGTTCCAAAAGAAATATTTGCTCAAATCTACAACGTACACTTCTACAAAAGTTTACTCTCCCCTCGATAGATTTACCAGGTATACCCTAGCATTCGAGTGTTTATTTTTTTCTACCACTTCAATTTCTACCAATTACTCGAGTTTCATCGTGAATTTTCAATCGTTGAATATTTAATTATCGAAAACAACTGTCAATTTTTTTGACATTGGAAAATACGAGACGGGGTTTTGTGGATTCAGTGAAAAATTGAAGAGTTCGTGGCCTAATTGAAAACGAGCGGAAACTCCAATCTCTAGAGAGAATGGAAAATTATCTTTTGGTTGAGGGCACGGGACACATGCAACCTTCAAAAAGTTTGATGTACGTGAAAACTTTAAATTGTACCGAGTGCCAGATTAATCTCATTTCATAATTAAATAATGGATGTTTTATGGGGATGTTATATTATTGGTAGTCGAGGGATGATACATCGATGAATTAACTCGGTAACAAGTTGGCGTAATATTTTTTATTTCAAGATTGTGACCTCGCGATAACCTCCGGACATTTTCATTTGTGATTACGGTGGATGGAGATTGCTGGAGAAAAAAGTTTTTATTCAACGTGCAATTTACTGCAAAGTAGCGTGCGTAGAGTTGAAATATAAACTTGGAGTGAGGGTTTAACTCAAAAATTCAACTCCATGAGTATTAGTTTCTGTGGGTAAGAACTATTGCTTTATTATGCGATAGTAAAATATGATATTTCATTCGTATTTTTTTAATGAGAAACAAAAGTTAAATGCCGTATGCCGTCGTGCTCACTGAATTTTTATGAACTATCCGGTTTTTATAACTCCATATCATTCCAACAAATGGAGGTTCATTGAATTTTTTACGAATTGTCCATCTGCAATGGATGGGCGTTATAACTAATCTCGATTATTGTGACAAGTGAAAAATACTTCTCTGACGATTTTAACATCCAATACGCGATTCACGTGAAAATCCGTGGAATATTTCTATCAAGTTACATAAAGAGGGGGAGAAAATCATTGCCTCTCTGAATGACGATATTTTCTGTAACAAAATGTGGGCGCTGTACCCCATACCTCTACCCGGAAATTGGATTCCACTTTTCGTTCCGCCCTTCCACGAATGTCATCGCGAAGAATGTCGAATGTCGGTGACTCGATCGACAGACATACGGGTGTAGGTGAGGTCGTTGCTTTTTATAGATTCCAGCCAGTCACGATATCTCGTTTCTTCAACTTCCGACTTTTCTCAGTCTGATAAAAACCACTACCAGCAACTGTGACAGTTTACCGTACTACAAAACGTCCATCGATTCCATTTAACCGATCCATTTATTATTTATATTCACTCGGTCTCTGTACAACAGTTAAAATCCCTTTATGATTATTCTTAAAGAAATATTTCACCGGCATTTTATAGAGGGCTAATATCACACGGCGTAGAGCTGGTGTACAGCAAGTGACCTAAATATAGATCGGGCGATTTGAATCACTTTAACGAATATCCTTCCGTCACGAAACCCAAGGTAGATATACCGGAGTCCCATAAAACAACAAAAATCCCTTATCTTTGAAGGAATTTCTAACAGACTCTCATAACTTATCCACCTAGGATGCACCGAGACTTGTATTTTTTTACTCCCCGTAGTAGTGTTCGCAACGAGTGAAAATAAAACGAGCGTGAATAACGCACCAGCAGTCCGATATATTTTTCAACGAATCCAGAAGACCGACTTAAATTATCCCAAAAGCTCAACGAGCATAAAGAGCGTTTTCAGCTCGAAAAAAAAAATTCTGACCTAAACCCTGAGCTTTAATTTATTAACTTCCTCATATTGTCATATCTGCTATTTGCAAGGAGCACAAAAAGCTATTTATTCCGGGTTCACAACCGAAAAAAACTTTAGCCGAGTTAAGGGTGGAAGTTGATAAATAATTCGAGTGTTGAAGGCGAAGGCAGAAACCAGAAACTGTAGAGTACGAGATCATGCATATTGCCAACCCCTCTAAAATCAACTTTGGCACAAGTTTCATTTGGTTGTAGACGTGAGACATTTGCACACTTACGCGGGACAGTAGTTGCAAACGTAACTGAAGTATGGTCTTCCCTGTGGACCCCTCGTACCATTGCACTTTGCCCAACCACATCCAACACGATGAGTTGGTGCCCACACCATCTGGGTGTAATGGCCTATTTGGCTGAGATCGTTCTCAGCGTGTGGACCATACTTGAAAATCTGGTGCTCCAAGTACCATGTTTTTATAGCGAAGAACCTGTAATCATAATTATACAATTTGGCTATCACCTCCATTCACTAGATCATTACAAGCCAGGGTAATTACAAAAAATGTGACAACTCACATCGCATCCTGCACGAGTCAAGATTAATAATAAATGTAATTGAACTTTACGAGACATACGGAGGAATATCAAATCGTTAGGATAAAACTTTACGCGGTACTTGATTGATAGATTGCGAAATTGCTCTTGATGTTCTCTTTAGGGCACTCATTCATCCACTCTCGTATCATTCTCTAATTTCTTTCTTCGTTAATCAGCACTCTCGTGCTGATCTCTACACCTCCCTTTAGGTATTCCCTATTCTCTTTAGTACTCAGGATAATTTCTATAATTACACTACTCGCATCTCCATTTAGCCTAGATATCATTATTCTCGAAAGCATCATTGAATATTGTCATGGACTAACTCTGGATTTTGAGGGATTTTGTCAATGCCTTTGAAGTAATTAATTCATCAGTCTGTTGAATCATCTGTCTGTCAGATTCCAGGCAATAATAGATTGATAATTCAGGCTCATCTTCCTCAACTCATTAATAACACCTAGCTGTGACCTCATTGACTCATTCAGGTGTAATACCTCCTGAGCTCCACCATTTGATCCCAAGATACCTTCAACACAAGTATTCAATTCATACTTGTCACTCACATTTCAAATTAATTCAAACAACAGTGAACAGCTAGCGGAAAATAGCACAAAAGCTGAAATCCACGACCTGTCATCCCTGTCATGACTGACGTTCCATCAATAATTCATCTTTGCATTCCAATAATTGCCGCGAAATATCTTCATCAATTAATTAATTACCTTCTATCAACGTGTAACTTTTGTGACAAGTCCTCTGGCATTTTCGCGTCATGATACTGTATTCTGATTCCTGAAAGACTTGGAACTTTATTATCCAAACCCGGATCAATCATCCGAGCTGACACTAATTCTGGGTGGACAGCATCCCGGAACTCGTTATCGTCCTTTTCGCTCGAGCTTTTGACAAACGCCACAAGTTTGGTCGCTCGTCCATCCGGTTGGTCAACAGGTGGAGATACACCCCAAGGCTATTGCCAAGTATCTGAACATTCATGCTCAATACTGTACATTTGTCCAGCATTAGCACAAGATAATTCAATTTTTTTCTAGAAAAATTGAAATTTCTTCATTCATTTCACGGATTCTCTCAAAAATTTGAAATTCCTTTCGTCTCATTCACACCCATGATCCGGGTTATTTCAATTTAATTCACAACTGAAAGAGGAGGAGCTGGAATGATATAAAATCCGATGTTCGATTTATGAAAAATCAATGGAGTTGGATGCGGTCTCTCATTTCGTTCGCGGAAAAAAGCCGAACGCGACATGAGAATCGCGTGCATTGAAGTGAATGTGACCCATTATAGATTGAACCGAACCAATAACTTTCCAAGTTCCTTCTGCTCATGTTCGTTTTATTCTTCATTTTATATCCCAGTGATATTTTTCTGTACTTTTCCCTTCCGTTTATTTTCTCCCTGATGCGCTTTACTATTTGTTGTACTCCCATGAACAGATGATACGTCCAAATAATTTATTGATTTAAGAACGTCATGTCAATGCAATGATAATAATTGTTATCGATTGACAAGGGGATTCTATGATAAAATTCAGTTGTTTTTGTCGACTCTTGTGATATCAACGGTGACTTATGCGCATCCAGGAGTATTTTGTAAAAGCTACAAAGTTCTGCTGACGCTGGGGCAAAATCATCTGAAATCTATCGTGCGATAAAAGTAAACGAGACGGGAAATCAGCTCTGTGCATCGAGACGCGTAATCTGATTCGGTTCCTGCCAAATCAGAAACTGCCTAGGTTACGTTCATCTCCTTGTATTCTACTTTTTCGCTTTACTTTTGCCATGGTCTTTATTTTTATGCCAGTTGTGGAGTCAGTATAGATGTAGTTTTCTTACACTAGTACGGACTTGGGGCAATAGCGGATTAGATCGATCTCGGGCACTCGTGAAACAGGATGAGAACGTGATTCGATTTGCGGAAATTGCAACATACGAGTCCTTCGAGGGAATGAGAGATACATCTACGATAGTTTGCTGGAGGGGACCAGTGGATGACTGAGTGACACTTGACATTATTTTCTCTTTTACGGTTGAAACGGTAAATCGGTGAATCGGTACCGAGAGCTTCAGTCATCTGAGGTTAATCCGGGTGGAATGGACATCTTGGATCACATGATATTTTAACCAGTTACTGCATCAGGATGTGTCAATAAAAATTACCAGAAGAAAAATGCAGATACTGAGGGTTTCGAAATCATCTGGAAGCGAAATATCAATCATTTCAGCTGTCCCCAAGTGGAGAGGAATATTTTTTGGAATTACATCGACGTATTTTGGAAATACAACACAATCCACACATTAAATAGATTTAATTGTCTATCAAAACCCGTGAAATAATATCGAAAATGTGGCGTATGGCTGCCGTCCGCCAATTTCATTATAATTTCAAAAATGATCAATGCTTGCAGATAATCATAAGCTCGCTGTCACTACAAATATCTCGCTATCAGATTTAATTTTCATTACGTAACCCTCATGGCGTATTCCTCCGAGATATCCTGCAATTTTCCTTTGAGAGTTTTCTACAAGGCGTTACCGACAGCCCGCCGAGCTAAATGGTTCCACAGCACGGGTGTGAATTACGTGTTTGAGATTTATGTATGAAAGGCGTAAATGTGAAACCGGATTAAACGTGAAAATGAGGGGCATTACGAAAACGCCGGAGAGAGAAGAATATAAAGTGTTACTTCTCGTCACGGAATTCTTCTACCTCCGATATATATTGCGCTTTTCGAGTAAAACCCGCTAAACACGAATCCTGAAAGACTTCATTTTGAAGTGCATCAACGCTCACAAAATGGCGGGCACAAAATGCGCGCGCGCGCAATTCAATTTTCCCCAGTAAATTATCAGTGACGTGGAGATCTTTTATTTCCTTGAATTTTTTTTTTTTCTCTATCATCGGGTTTTTATAATGAACTACTTTTCTATGGAGAAAAAAAGGGAAATGAAAAGAAAATGCGTTGGAATGAATTGCGGTTGAGTGGATGCTGATAGAAGGCATGGAAAAATGCAGAAAATGCAAAATCCAGGCTGGAACATGCCAAGGGTTGGCTGAGGATGTCGTTATATTATGTAGAATGACGCGTTCTGCGAAAATCATAAAGGCAAGGAATAGTGTGCGAGATTTAGTCAATAAAATCGAACGAACTCGTCTGGTAGCATCCGCTTGAAAAAGGGAATACTGCGGGTGGAAAGACGGATATGGGATTTTTGTGGTAACTGTGATGAAAAATTGTGGAGGGTAAAATGAGGGCTTTATGGGGCGGTGGATTATTGTCGCACTGTTTTATTTTTGAATAATCAATACAACTCTCCCGGGGAATCGCCGGGGATTGGTCTGATTTAAAAAATTATCTCTTCATTACTGTGATAAAATGTTGAAGATAATATTAACATCCGAATTTCCACATAACTTTATGTCTCTTCCGTAATTTTTCAATATGTATCATTTTTCTAATGATTTTCTAAGGAGATTTCTCGGAATTTTTATCTTGATTAAAACTACATGTCCCCTACCACCGCAGAATATCCATCGGTTTACCCGAGAGATGCAGTTTATTCTTCAATTTAACTTCACGCGAAACGCCTTTCCGCATGAAATCGCGCGCACGACAAAACCTGAATAACAAAGCACTGAATTGCGAATTCCCGTGAATTCCATCGAAATTCCCCCAAACCCAATAAATGTAGAATCCAATATCCCGAGGATTTAATACTCCTGAATAAATCGGGCGTTTTTTTTTCTTCACATGTACCAAAAGCCCTGTTATTCATTTACATGTAATAAAGCCATGACATTCAAAATTGAATCGTGCCAGAAATGATCGGAAAACTTTCTGGTACGTTATGAACTCGAAGTTCTCCACCTGATGGCGTACATCTGGTACAACGTTGAAACCCGTCACGTCGCACCGGAATTCAACTGCTAGCAACTCCACATTTTCTCCATGTTATAGCGTTGTGAATGTGCCCGGAGGGTTAGCACATGCGAAAAAAGGCGAAAAAGCCCGTGGCAAATGGGAAAAAAACTCCCCTTCCCTCCCCCCCAAAAAAAAGAACTAGAGCGTAAGGGCAAAAATCGCTCGAGATTTTTCCGTCCGGTTATCAAATACATGACAAGCGGAAAAGTCGAATGTGGCATTTAATGAAATTGAGTGGAGGTGTTTCTTTCGCGCTTTTCCACTTGCACTCGCCCACGGAAAATTCCCGGGGTATTCACATTTTTTTTATATTTTTTACTCCTCCTTTTTGTTTTTGCACCCCCTAAGACCGGACACCCGGAGAAATCCAGGGGCAATATAATGTGTCAGTACTTTTTTTCATTTTTTTTTTTTTCGAACGACTGAAAGTAAACCGCGCGATTTTATTTCGCCGATGGCAGTCGAGCGCGTCGCCAACCCCTTTTTTACTTCTGGGTTGATGGAAAAAAAATGGCGATGACCCGGAACGGAGGACGGAAGCACGTGGAATCCGGGAACGGAGGTGTTTTTCCCGTCTACTGCGATTTTTCTCTCGGTAAAAAGAGAAGACGTTATTTTTTCGGCATCAAAGGATTATTTTCGGGAGAAAATTGCGATTCTGGGATATTTCATAAATATATATTTATATCTCTCCCTCTCGCACCGATCACCGATAGATCACAATATACATATAATTTATAATTCTCCATCCCTCCCCTTCGGAAATAATCAATTCAAATTTATGGAGATATTTCAATTTTTTTATTTAGCGTTGCGATAATTGACTCGTTCATTGGACTGCATAATTGATTCTCATTACAGTACTCACCAGGGTACTTGTGCTGTTGAAATGAATATGTTCTGTCCACAACTACCGAAGGCATCAATATGTAAACCCGTTGCGTTGTCGTGGGTCAGGGCATAACACGCCTCCGCCCATCTTTGAGCTGCTTTAGCAGCACCATTGTGCCATTTCTGAAAATAATAAAATTTATTTGTTTAATAGAATAATAAAATTTATCGTGACGCGAATGTTGAGTGAAAAAACAATTAGCGATGCGTCCGTTACCCTGACAGCTCCACCGCCAAAAGAAATCAGAGAGACTATTTATGCAAATGTGAACACGTGATACAACACAAAGCTCTTCAACTCGGTCACTCGTGTGTACCAGCTTTCATGGGTTTACGCCTCATGATACGATTATTATAAAGAGTGAAAGGGTGGAGTGAGACTCGAGTCAACGACCGCATCGCGCTTTGTTCAAGAGCATAAAGACTTGTATATCGTATAAAAGCCTGTCATTTTTACACTGTCACTCCCGAATCGTGTCAATTTTCCAATGGAAAAATTATAGAGAATTACCATTGACAGCATGTTAGAGGCTGTAGGACTAACGTGTGTCCTGAAGAAGTTGTGGTAGAGAACGATTTTCCTCTGAACTTTTTTGTTGCTCGGTGTTAGGACTCTCGTGGGAATCCTGTCGCCATATAAACGTGGCACTGAAACAGAAATAAAAAGACTAGAGTGGTATCAAGCGAGGGATAAAAGACTTAAGAGATCTTGAGATTATTAATTATGAGTGAAAGTTTTTTTCAAAGAGATCCTTCAGGAAAATATTTCACTTGGAAATTTTTTCAGATTTACAATTTCGATTGTCTGTGCAATTCAATCATCTCACGTAAAATGCATTTTTTTTTAAATAAAAAAATGTCTTTACGAGCGGATGTGCAAAAATAGTTGAAGAAACTTTTCCATCTCCAATGGTGGCGGATGTAAGGTGCCAATATCCTTTTTTCAATGCGAATACAAATAGTCTTTTGTTAGTTGGGGTGAAAAAGTTTTCCTTTGAAAGAAGCTTTCCCTCATTTTCTCAATTCATGGGTAACATATTTATTCAATTTGCCCCGCATTTCAATTCTGGATGAATAAATGTGTCAAGCATTTACTTTATGTAATAGACACGCTCTAGGGATTTCGTCGCGTGCAACACCCCAGCGGTTTTGCCACTATATTTCATTTTCAAGTATTAAAAGTGTTATGTCCTCATACTGTATTTTCGTGCTAAGAGACGATAAAAGAGAACTGGGAGTTTCTGCCGAGTCCTTTCATAATTCATTTCAATCAGCGAAAACAGTTCCTTTTGCTCCAATGCATCCTGCGACTGGCTTGATGAATTCGAAATTTAATGACCAAAGTTTCTCAGTCCGACGGTTACAGAAACAAATATAACCCTCACTTTTTCGTGATATTAAACTATTTCTACTGATTATTCACTAATTTCCACTTTACTCTCTGTAATGATAAAAAATTTAATTGACTCTCCGCGAGAAATTACGGAGAAATTACTTTTACGAAACAAATTAAAAAAAAAAGGGGGCTAAGCAGAGTAATTAATTTTCCAAGTGAATTTACTAATTACAAGAGAATTCTAGCATTTGTCATTAAAAAGTATTTAATTTATTTGATAATTTTTTTCAATTTTTTTCTCAAGGTACATTAATCTTCACTTGGAACATATTTATTCACAAAATATCGATAATGTATTAATTAATAATAAACGATACTCTACTGGGCTTACTGCGCTGCGTTTCCCATGGAACAGCTGCAGGCAATGCTGCCACCACAGCCACACACAGCCACAAATATTTAATCATCTTCAATTATCCACTCCTGAAACACACAATAAACAATTCCATAAATAATCGCCGTAAAAATTCCACTAAACACTCGATTCTCATAAATTTTGTAGATAACGTACAGGGAAAATCTAGTGAGGTGGTACTTTAGGGAGAAACTTTTTTCTATCCCACACATACGTAAGAAAGAAAGTTTTTCAGCCTCGGGTAAAATTTCTCACCACCGTTACTTCCACTTCTCGAGTATATGCAGTTGGGAAAATAATAAATTGCATCCACTACTTTTTGAGTATCGGTAAAAGGACCACTTCTATTTCCACAGACAAAGGGGATGGAGGTGGAGCTCCACTTCCTCGAGTGGCATTTTCTTATCGTTACGTGGATCAGATATTGGTGAAACCCTTTCTCGATAGAAGGTTGGGGGGATATAAAGTTGGGGTTAATTTTTGAATACTCTGGAAAAGATTCCGGGGATCCCCTGTAAATCTCGGGATATTGGAATATCATTTCGGAAGGTCTACCCGGGTAAAAAAAAATTGTAATCGGAATATTTTTTTATTCTTTCGCAAAAATAAAATCGTTTGGTTTTCCCCTTTTTTTTATTTCATAAAAAAAATTTTCTGAAAAGTTTTCCCGAAATTTTTGAAAAACTTGGAAAAAATATTCCGATTACAATATTTTTTTTACCAAATTTTTTGGCTAGTCGGTATAATTTCTGGATTGGATCCTTTGATCTACCAGCAACTTCTGCATTTCTATTCACACGACAGACATTGACGAATCAACATTTGCCACTGTAGACTAACCAGCGAATATTTTTTCACCTTGGCAATAGTCCAGATCCGCACTTTAATCAAAATTCATGAATATTACGCTCGAGAGATGTGAATCATTAAAATAGAGGATACGATTACAGTAGCTTTGACCTGTGAATATGCTCAACATTATTCATGGAGTTGAATTTTACATTTACCTCTGCGGAGTAAAAAACTGAATGAAACTTTCAAACTTATCCATAAGTAATTATTTCTGGTTTCATTTAGAATAAATTCTATTCCAAGTATTCCAAAGCCCATATTCCCCTCAAAATCTCGACTCAATTTTTAGTCTTTCTTCTTGTTAATGAATTAGAACTATAATGACGAAATAAAACGGTGAAAATGGGTCGACCAGAAGTGGTGGGTGATTGAGGGGTACAGAGAGGTGCTAATAATTAAAGATAATCGATTTACTCATTGGCTCCTATTACTCGGAATGGGAGAGGTCATTTAGTTTGTACTTCGGATTCGGCTGTACAGTCCTTTGCTGTGTCCCATTAGCCCTCACAATTACTGCATTGGTTATGGTTCATTTAATGAATAGGATGTGCAATTAAAAAATTCAGAGCTCCATTTCAAAATGCCACTTTAAATTTCAAGTTAAACGACTTCACATCATTCACAACGACAAAGTGACAGGAAATGATTTTGAAATATTTCCAAAACTAAGATAAATCCCGCAATTTCAGTAATTACATTTTTTTTAGCTGTCAATTAGTTGATTTCATTAATTTCCCGGGGAATGAACTGTTTCAACAGTTGTATATCAACAGAAAAAATTAATTGCATCATTTATTACTGAAAAAAATTCGCGATTCCATCAATTACAACGAATCAAAATTTTCGAGGATGGTATTTATAATTGAATTTGTGGAGTACAATGAAATGCTCGTGCAATTATTTCGTATTCACTAAAAATTATTGATGACGTGAATTAATGATGAAATAATGGTGGAATCCAGTGGAATGGAAGAGAAAATAGAGAGAGAGTAAAGAGGAAAATTATTCATTGTTTGTAGAGGGTTTTTTTTACAATTGTCAGAATGTTTAGTGAATAATTCACGCAGTGGTATTGATTGTGTGTGCCACCTTGGCACTGAATCCATAGGTAACCCACAAGTACTACCACAAAACCCTTCCTCCTTCATCTGTTCTCGCAAACGTAAATTGAAAACATTCATTCTCGGTGTGAAACTCGACACTCACTCTCTGTCTTCCACCAACGAAAAATTGGACATTCCACTCGGTCCCACCGTAGTAATTTATACAGAGATAAAACGCGAATGTCTCAATGATGAAAACACTTGTTCCAAAGATTCTCAACAACTTTAAGAGCTCTGACCTCTTTCTGCAACTCACAACTTCAAAAACCCGACTAAAATTGAGATGGAGGAGTTGAGGGGGGTAAGGGGGGTGAAATAAAAAATAATGAAAACCGCGGAAAAACGTTTTCAAGATATCGAACGTGATTATACGACAAAAAATTTTCCATTCTGCTATTTTTGCATCGAATATTTCATCCCCGAGTAGAAATTCAAACTCGATATTGCCTCGGCACTACATTACATTAACACTCTGAAAAAATAATTAATTCCATATAAAACATCCATTTAATTCCACATAAAAATATATAAAATACGTATTAAACAAATATATTTTTCACCACAAGTCCTTGTCTATTTTTCACGCGATAATCCCAACGCGAGGATCTGCGTTGATTCAAGGGACAAGCTCTAGAATTTTTTTCGTTTATTTTCCCCTTCGCGAATGAAAAATATTCTTGAATAAAAGTTTTCGGCAAACCCTGTAATCTCAAAACTTCAACCAGAGAAATTCAACAATTAAAAACCACAAAATAATAACTCTACCTCCAAGATAACACAGTCCCCATGTGAAAAAAAAATAAAAATGATAAAAAACCGCGTCCTACCGTTGGCACAACACGCGTATAATGAATCCAACGCGGTCTCCACTGAAATATGCAAACGTCGAGTGCATAGAATTGGAAAAAGCAACATTCATAATATTTAACCACGTTATGAATAGAAAATATCCTCTCCCGTTGAGGCATTTACCGCTCGAGTGACCCTCATTACCGTGGGACATTTTTCCCGTGGTTAATATTCAAAATCTCATCAAATTAAAAATTAAAAAAAATATTGTGAGCACCAGAAGAGAGGGAGGGAAAAAAAATTCAATTCGTTGGCCATCTGGATATCATTTCCCGGAGAAGCTATCGTACAAAATTCAAGTTGCTCTGGTAGTTGTAGCACATGTGTATTAATACCATCATACGATTTATGGAGCTACCACTGGATTTCGATTCGCCGCAGGGAAATCCCCTGAGCCCTCAGGAACTACCCCATTCTCTCTGATGTTTCTATAGAACTCAGAGGCTGTATTCCAAATTTTTTTATCTCCCTTTTCTAGAGATAGAGTTGAGTAATCGAAATGCATTTAGTCACGGCTATTAAAATGGAGATAAAAGAAGAGGATTTTTAGGATTTTTAATTACTCCACTGATAAATTTTTTTCGGGTAAAGGAGAATAATGTGAAATTTATCCCTTTATTACACCGACTGGTGTAATGAAAAAAGTAAATATCTCTTCTGTCCTTAACGACAAGGCCCTGAGGAGGGGAGGACTAGGGCTATCGGAAAAATTAGCGATTCATCTCACAGAGAGTCGCAAATTGTTGGCAATACCCCGGTAAAACACGATGGAATATCCTCCGGGGTTTATTTAGCCACTCTCAACGCCCGATTTTCCAAGGCCCAGGCTGTAAATTTTCTGGTTGGACACAATGGTGCGGCATAACGGAGGTCGCAAGGCGTTTCTACCTGCCTTCCCATGAATATTCACGAGTCCTCTCTAACTATATAAACCATTGGAGGTGAAATTCGAGCCAGAAGTGGTATATTTGGTGCTATCGTCGAATATCGACAGTCGTTGCACGCTCCACCGAGGAATGAAAAGGAGTGAACGACGAGAATTGGGCTCGATGGAGAATGCTTGAACATAGTCAATCCTAGATTGGGGCCAGTCCAAAGGTGATTGAGAATATTGTCCGTCGACGTACAACAGATTCTAGAGGGTCAAGTGAATTAATGCACAGTGAAAGCGCATTTTTTTTTACACGTGAAAATAAAAAAAAATCTTTCACCGGGCGGGAGAATTTCAAAAAAAAATTCAAATAACTCAATTACGTCAGTAAATCAATTCTATAAATTCTATATTAATTTCCATCGATTCTCGTTGCGCAGTCGGAATAGTTCTCAATAATCAGGGAATCGAACTATTTTTACCCCTCAGTATCTCATTTTCACCGTGGAATTGGTTGATTTTCCTTGGTAATTGATATTGCAGAATAAATCCATTATCCTCCACCAAGGAAGCACTCAGAAATGTATATTATGTTTTGAAGTAGCTAAAAGCCAATACCGCAGTATCCCTCGCCCATTATCTATTATAAATACTCATGGAAAATATTATTTGGAGGCTCGTGGAAGGATTGGAATTAGGATTGAATTATCGAATGGATCGCTGGAATATTTTCTGGTATCGAGGGATAGGATTTCACTAGGGTCTGACGATTCTAACTTTCATTTTTTTAATTGGCGATTTTTCATCACTCAATCAATAATTTTCTCTCGAATGATTAATTAATTAATGAGCTTTCATAAGAATCAATTGTTTTGGTTTGCTCCTGGTAATGGCAGCCAGTTGCACTGTGAAGGGGTCAATTCCATCGACTTCGTAATGTTATTACGCAAATTACTGGATAGAATTAATTCACAGTTGCAGAGGATGTCACCTGGTGAGTAGCTAACACCTAGACAATTGATTTCCAATAATTGGACGTATCTTCCTGGCTCGGTACCCCAGTGAGTCATAATTCGTGTCTAACTTCTCTCTGGGGAGATGATAGATTATTAATTGGGGAGTTTCAAAGTTGTTCTCGAATTTAACAGCTTTATTTTTTTTTTAAAAGTTACTCCAACTTCCGGTTGGACTCCACTGCATCCAAATATTTTCAGCAACTGAGTTTTCTAATTGAATTAGACGAGAATAATTCAGCAATCCTACGATTTTCCTGCATAAAAATTATCGACTATTCCATTTACGTTTGAGTAGTCCATCCGCGTGTATGATCAGCCGTGAATTGTTCTTGAATTTTTTCGGAAAGTATTTGAATTTTCCAAACAAATCGCATGAG